GCTGGCTCCTCAGCCACTCACGCTAACCTGGGACTTTCAATTCTCCTACCTCAGCCTCCACAATGATGGCATTATAAGTATGCACTTTTAGGATCGGTTACCTATTTTTTATCATACTCTAAACTAAGAAGTTATCTGTAGGGGGCACCCTAACCACGCCTCTTGTGTCCTCTCCCTCTTTAAACCTCCCTCACATCCCCTGACCATGCTCTGGAGGCCATGGTCCTACACACCTGTAGCCAGCCCCTAGGAGGCGTGGTTAGGGTGCCCCCTACAGTTATCACTTGTGAGAACATGCATTTCTTTCTTACTATTTTCTTAGGAACTGTTTTCAATGTGAAATGTGAGGAGGGAGGGAGGAAGGTAAAGGGGTAGGAAGGGAAGAAAGCGAAGGAGTTATGGCTCAGAAATGGGTTAGAAAGCATTGTGTCATCTGCAGATGTAATTGGGAAATACTGTGGGTTGGCAATGCCAAACCCACACTCTCTAGCACTCTCTTCTTACTATAGGACTATAAAAGCAAACTCGTTTTTTCACCTATGCCCCTTTTGGCTGTCAGTTCAGAGGCACTGAGTCATGAGCAGGAATCTGCTGGGCTTTTCTGGGAAAGATTTAGCACTTCACATAAAAGGGACACATGAGACAGATGAACCTGCCCTCTCTTCCATTCTTCCTTCTTGAGGCCTTGAAATGAACTGGGTCTGGAACAACCATGTTATGCCTGTGATGTGGAAAGTCAGAGGACTCCAGATCTGTCACTCAGACTTAACTGTGCTTCTCCATACACCTCAGCAGCCTCAGGCCACTACTGTTCTATGGTTAGCCAAACAGAGTTCTGTGTTTGGACTGATTTTCACTGGTATTCTTTTCATTATATCTGAAAATCTTAATATTTGACTGAGGAATACTTAAGAAAAGGCAGGCAGTGATAAAGTAGAATTTAAAAGTGTTTAGCTAAAATTCTAACAGTGGGAACGGAGGCAGTTTCTGACTCTTGTCTGCTTGTGGGATCTTTTTCTTCATATCTGGTTGCCTTGTCCAGCCTTGATATGATGGTATGTGCCTGGTCTTATTGTAGCATGTTATGCCATGTTTGGTTGGTGTTGCCTTCTCTTTGCTGATGGGAGATGGGAAGGAGGGTTGAAGCTGGGGGATAGGGAAGGTGGGGGGAGAGGCTGGGTTGGGGAAGGAAGGGAAGATACAGTCAGAATGTAATACACAAGAGAAGAATAAGAAATAAAATAACGATGGAAGTGACCAATATAATTTCAAAACTCTAAAAGTACTCTAAAAGTATGCATGTCACCATTGGTTGATGAAATTTCAAATTATCTTACAAAGTAAATGTGGCAAACAGCAAACCATTCACCTGGACTCTGAGAAAATACTGGATGCAGGTAATTTTTCTCACTTTAAAATAATTAAATAGAAAATAAATTATATTGAAGTTTCTCTTGGAAAAAATTGGTAAGATCAGAAGGCTCAGCATGGTACCACATGACTGTAATTTTAGCATTCAGTAGGAACAGCTACAAGTCCCTAGGCTTCATCTCACACATCAGGAAAAAAGAAGGAGCAGAAGAAAGAAAGAAGAAGAAGAAGAAGAAGAAGAAGAAGAAGAAGAAGAAGAAGAAGAAGAAGAGAGAGAGAGAGAGAGAGAGAGAGAGAGAGAGAAACTGAGTCAGCCAGGAAAGTAGAGCTGAGCCCTAAGTCTGTAATGATGGTGAAACACATATCCTGGGACACATACTGGGTGTCAAAGTGTTGTGGGCAGCAGACTAGCACTAACTATTGTTTTTTTCCTTTTTCTCTTGTTTTTGTTTTTGTTTTTCAAATCAGGGTTTCTTTGTGTAGCTTTGGAGCCTATCCTGGCACTCGCTCTGTAAATGAGGCTGGCCTCAAACTCACAGAGATCCACCTGCCTCTGCGTCCTGAGTGCTGGGATTAAAGGCGTGGAGCACCAAAGCCCTGTGCCTAACTATTGGTTTTTCATTGTGGTACAATCCAGGGCTTTCAATTGACTCAGTTGAGGGGCAGTGTCAAAACAACTGGAGATTTTGGTGGAGGTTAAGGGAATGCATCTGCATATTGTGGGTATAGAAAATAAATGTTACTAGAAACAAGTAACTAGGAAAAATCAGAAATATAGAAATCAGAACTCCAGAAAGATGGGTGTTTAGCAATATGAAACAAACATGTATCCCCAAGAGTAGATGCATATCAATCTTCAAACTGATGTCTTCTGACACTTCTTGGCCTTTCCTGTATTTCTTATTTGTTTCATTTGCCTCAACCTTGCCACCAAAATCTCAGTCCTTCATCTTGCTATGAAAAGCATTTTCACATACAAATCAAAGTTGTAGTATCAGCTCTTCTTCCATGAATTTGATTCCTTCTTTGATACCTATTGCAAATTTAATATTCTCTTCATCACTACTCTTATGCCCAAGGATCAGAGAACACTGAGAACACTGTATGAAAGAGTAAGTGGCTATAAGTGTTAGAGGACCAGGAAATCTGTGAGAAAGAGTCTCCTAGAAATGACAAGGAAGATACAACCACAACACCTCAGCAATTCATGGTTGCCTAACAAGATCTAGACAGCTACACACAGATTTTTAAATTAATTTCACAATACAAAATAACTCCAGATACGTATGATTTGTGTCATTGTTGGTATGTATGCATTTTAAACTACCTTTTAAATTTGTGTATACACTTGCCTATTGCATAACTTTGATATTTTGGCTTTAGGATTTTGAAGGTTTTACTTCATAACTGATTCATTGATTTTCATTTCTCTATTCACTGTCATTTTTAGCTGCTATCGTGCTCAATTTCTAGAAACTTCCTCCTCTTTTACCTCACTTATTCAGTTTTACAGTGATCATTTTAGGTTCCCTTCCCCCTTTCAATTGTCAATTTCTTTCTTGATTGACACCTTTAATTTTCTTCCTGTCTCTTACTTCGGCTTTATATTCACAGACAACACGGGGGAGTTACATATGTCTACTTTTAAATTAGCCTAATTTCTCAACTCTAGTTAAGAAAAAAAGCAATCGTATAGCAAGAGGGTAAACATTTGTGAAAATAAATTTGATAATGGGTAAATCTAAGTCAGCTATACACATAGTTCATTCCCATGGCATCAATCCATGTAGACTGGAACTGTTCATTTTTCCCTTCATTTGTTTGACTCAGCACACCATGAGAATTTGACTCTATGGACATATTAAACGAATGACAGCCTGTGACACATTTAGAGACTAGTTTCAGCAATGAAATCCCTTAACAGGAATTAAATATAAACCCAATAAACATTATTTTTTAAAATTTTTTCATTTTACTTATATTTTGAATATGTGAGTATTTTGCCTGCATGGATGTGTATGTGCTTCAGGTATGCCTGGTGCCTTGGAGGCTAAAAGAAGGCATTGGTTGCCTGGCATAGGAGTTACAAATGGTTTGAGCTGCCATGTTGATGTTGGGAATGAAACCTTGGTCTTCTGAAATAGCAGCAATGCTATTAACCATGGAGCTATCTCTCTAACTCTCTTATTTTAATTTTTAATGGGAAATAAAATCCATATCTGAGACATCTCCTATAGTTTCCTATTCACTGAAGAGAGTAGAAGTCGGTGAGGGAGGCTTGCTGTTTAACAGTAGAACGTGAGACAACCATGACATGCTTCAGACACCACATTCTTAAATCTGAGTGCATGAGGTATGTGCTGTTATTGTAAACTTTTGAAACAGAGGCTCAGAGAAGCCGAGTAACTTGCTAGAGATCATATAATACAGCAATGACCTAGCCTGTGTCTGAAAACCTGATTGTATGATTGCCAAGCTCATGGTTCTTCTTCACTGTCTCTTCTCATTTCTATGGAGGTTAATGAGACATGCATGCATACTATGGGAACATGGGTGCTGATTACTTGCAGGACATTTTAAAACACAAGTATTATTGGCTTCCTTTTATTTTGATGGTTAAGATTTAATATCTTGGTTAAGAAGACATTATCTTTATATCTTTTGTATTACACCACTTTCACAGTTATCCATCAAATCAGCTGGAAGTCCTGGTTGGAAATTCCTAGAGACCACTGAAAACGGTGTTAAATTTCTTTTCATTAATTCCATTCATTAGCTTCGATAATTGCATATATTAGCTGGATCTCACATATATGGTAATCCTATAACTTATTAATGTTCAGAATAAAATTCAATTGTCACCTTTTTAATACAAGCCTTGATTGCATAATCAAACAGAACAGCTATTTAGGATTTTAAATACAACTTACAAGTATTAAATTTTTCTCTCATTTTATTTCTTTCTTATAGCCCAAAATTAATAAAAAAAAATTCTTAAGTCACTTACTTATACACCTAGAGACATGATATACAAATAAAAATAGTTTAATTTTGAATTAATGATATAGGGGGAATAAAAACTTTTGCTATTTTCAGTATCATAAAGCTAGAAGATTGTTAGAAATAAAATGGCATCCTTGAAGTCACTTGAGTAAAATTCATCCTACTAATAACTGCATGAGCTACTAATAGAGTCCATATTTCCCTATCTAGAAGTACCTAGCTTTAAGAGACCAGGTTTACATTTTAGAATGAGTTATGATCTGGCAGTTTCCTGATATGGGCTTTTTAACAATCCTTGCATGTCTCAAAGACTGTAATATTTTATCCCCCTTTTTTGCTGTCTGAAGAGTCACATCATGCGTGCAAAATATGTTCATCCTGGGCCCTAGGTGCCCCACATGAAGATGACATTATTATGAATGAGGTTGGGTCATTGACGCCCTGTAAACATGGCTTGAAATACAGCAATCATAACAATAGTAATAATAATGTCTTAAAAATTGAAGTCTACTTTCTAGAGAAAAAGATACCTAGAACAATTTAAAGCACACATGAAAAGATGCAAGTAGACAACTCTTGAGCAGAGTGCTGCCTGGGGAAATGATAATGAGGGAAGAGTGAACTACCTTTGCTTGTCCAGCTTTTGTAATGGCAGGCATGTCAAAGAGCTGTCCAGTGTAAAACTGCACACCACTGAACAGGATCACTGCAATCGAGTCTCCTTCCTCCTCGATTACTTTCAGTATGTCTTCCATCCTTAAGGTCTCTTCCCCCTAGGTCAAATTCATTGCTAGTTACACGTTTGACAGTGATAAACATGTTACTCCATATCTACAATTGTCTTTTCTACATAAGGGCAATGGAAGATGATTATGCTTTGCCATGCCAATGCTCGTCATAAATCTGGCAAAAGAATAGCACTGGGATACATTTGGTTACAAGGAAATAAAAATAAATAGCTAAAGAGATTTCTTTGAAGTGCCATTCTGCACAACCCTGTTTGCTCTTTTGTACTTCAGTTTTCAATTAATGTTTATTATTTATAAGCCCGTAAATTGTTTTCCAATTACCTTTATCCAATAAAAAAAGCATGATGTCAATGAAATATCTTACAGCAAAGCTGGAGATTCATATTGCACTCATCAAGTTAGTGGTACTTTTTCCAATGAAAACTCACTTACACATCTTTCAACTGAGTTTTGCCAAATTGACGTTCCAATTATTTTAAAATTTAATCTTTTCGAAGCTAATGTAAAGATAAAGAGAAACACGAAGAAAACAGATCGAAATAAAGTACCAAGGACAAAGTTTCTCTAACCTCCTCACCACAACTAATGATTGAAATTGTCGGTAAAGTGAGATTCAATCTTGAAAAAATAACTTGAGCTGTAAAAAATCAGATAATCATGAAGAATCTGCTTAGGGGTAAGCAGGTTTGATGTACATCCAACTTTCCACAAATCTCTTGCAGTAAATATGATATAAATTTGGGCCAGTGCATCCTAATTGACTTCACATCATGTAGAAAGCTTAATAAAATAATCATATATTATCCTTCCATATAAGTTTTCAAATTCCCTGCTATTTGCCAAGTTCCATGTTAGAAGACTTATGTGGATGAGTGTGTGTGTGTGTGTGTGTGTGTGTACAGTTTCTATTAAAAGAATCCTGGGGCTTGTTTACCAAATAGGAAAAACATTGATATTAAAATCTCTCTTTTATTAGAAATATGCTTTTTATACATATAAAGAGTGAACTTAGTAATTATAAAAATTCTACTTAGGGAACTGGCAACTTAAAACTTTTAAAATTCTAATGTAGTTTGACAACAACAATTTACAAAAAAAAACTAACTAAAGAAAATATTAGAACTTAGTAATTATAAAAATTCTACTTAGGGAACTGGCAACTTAAAACTCTTTTAAAATTCTAATGCAGTTTGACAACAACAATTTACAAAAAAACACTAACTAAAGAAAATATTGCAGAAACTAACATGCAATACATGTGTCTAAAGGATCTTCTTGAAACAAATAAGACATAAAGGTGCTAGTGAGATAAAGTTCTCATTCATGTTGATTTGAAGCCGTGTAGTAATGCAAACAATTGGTTAGAATAGACCCAGGAGACAATTACTGGTCCTATGTATCACCCAATCTTGGTTCTTGGTGGCTATGTTCATTTATGCTAGAAACCACTCATTTATATAGCACATGTGAAAACAGGTACCTTTGACAGATGTGAGAATCTTTTATACCATTAAGCTTGCATGTTGGTTACTACACACACTGAAATCCCACACTCTACGAATTATTGGCTTTAGAAAACTTACTGTATCTTACATGCAAGAAATACTTGACACTTTGCAAAAGAACATGAAAGACAGTATCCTTATGGTTTTACAATGATTTGATTTGATTTTAATAGACTCTACCAGCAACAATATGTGAAATTAAAACTGGAATACTCAATTTGTCACCCTTTTCTCACCTCTTGACTACTATGGACCCCACTGGTATAAAAAGAAAAATTTCTTGCCATGAATCCAGGTCTTGAAAATGAAAATAAATATATATCCCATTTATTTTTTTATTTTAAACAAAAGGATCTAATAGTAACAAATGCACTGGTCTCTTATGCATTCTTAGAAGTTACAGCAAAGCCATAAAGATAATAAATTTCTGAGGAAAATTGAGGGACATCAATGGACATTAGGTAGAAGTATAATGAACATTTCTTTCTTTCCCAAATACCTGTCTTGGCTTTATCATCTGCATACTTTTCTCAACATCAAGTCCGTGAATTTGAATCTGTGACTCAATAGCATACTGAAAAAGAAAAAAAAATATATTCATAAACTAAGTCCAAAGCAGAGCAGTCCATTAACAGCTCCTCTGAAAAAATAAAATAGCAATAAAACCATATCATTATATTAAACCACGTGCCACAGGTAAAGAGAATGGCTACATCAGAGAGAACCTTCTTAAGGTAATGAAACAGGACTGCATACTAAAGGTGATCAAAAGTGCAGAGTAGATTTTAGAGATAAGGAGATTGCCACAGTAAAACTCACCTACTGCAAATCACAACTGGAACTCGCAATGTAACCTAACTATCTCGGGTTGAGTTAGGATGCACTAACATCTCACCACACGAAGAGTCAGAAAAGACAGATCACATTAAAACTCCATGGAGAAAATAAGATATGCATGCAACAAAATAACTAAGAGGAGCTGCAATTGTCTTCAAGGTAGCAAGGCCTCGATCTTTTGTTGTGGTTGTTGTTGTTGACTTAATAGAATTACATGCTTTAAAATTACAAGATGTAGTATAGAATAATGAAAAGATAAGAGTGAAATTTCTTTAAAACTAAATGAAAATGTCTTTATTATTTGGTTGAGCTACAAGAAAACTTTTAATCTTCTCTGTGTGTAGGGCTGTATTTATACGTACATTTCCCTGTGTATGTTCACAGGCATGTATAAAAGCCATTGGTCAATGTCAAGGTGACTTCTCTTGACACTCTATTCCTTGTTTTAGGGGGGACAAGGTCTCTCATTGAAACTGAAACTTACTAACAAGATAGAGAGGCTAACCAGCAAGCCTTAGACCTTCTCCTCTCTTGTTTCTTGTTCAGGGACTATAGGCCCACACAGGCACACTCAGCTTTTTTGTCTGAGTGATAGATATCCCAGTTTAGGTCCTTATGCCTGTGCAGCAACTTCTTTGCAGACTTAACCATGTCCATACATGAGTATTTTAAATCTTTAATATTTTTTTCATAGAAAGGAAAAAAGCCATGCAAACACAAGTTCATATGGCAATTCAATATTGCTAAGGGTTAAGCAGTGGAGTTCTTATTGATTTCATTTTATAAAATAAAACAGCAACAGGAATTAATAAAACATTTATAACCACACTTGATTTAGGGAATGATTTGCTCAACATCTTTAAAAAGACTAATAAATCAATGTCTCCATTCAGTCCTTTTCTCCCTGAACACATGTTTTACTTGAACAAAAGAAATAAATCTACTATCTAGAAAAAAAAGCTTAAATCAAAAGCACTTGACAGATCTTTTTTAGTTGGCTTACTTGGAAACGAATATCGAATAAACATTCAAGTCAGAAAAATGGTATGTCCCGCTAGGAAGAGTAAAAGAACATAAATATAATTTGAAGAAATCCTTACATGATCAGAAGGGAAGGCTTTGGCTTCCAGAAGAATCTTGTACCGCTTTGGTGTAGGCTTAAAGAATGACAACTACAACGAAACAGAGTTACCGAGAAAGATTAACACACAATTTACTCATTTGCTCCTTTATGCCACTCTCTCATATTGTAAATGCCAACATTTTAAAGACATTAATTAATTAAACATCTAAGATACCTGACACAGCTATCTTTCCAATTAGCCTAGTTTCCAATGAATTATGAAGAGGGTGAAGATATTGGCTCATTACATTTATCAATAGAAAACAAACTCAGAGGAAAATATAAAGCAGATAAAAACATATTCTAAGTCTTTACCTAAATGTTAATTGAAAATTTATCTTCTTAAGCATTTAAAGGTAATTTTTCTAAAGTGAGGCTGAAATAGCTTCTTCTATGTGTGTCCTATTTACATATCTTACACTGCCAATTTGGTTCCCTTTATCACCTTTCCCTTTTGATGATTGTTTGCTTTATTTTATTTTGGTTAGGTCCAGCTAAAGGTGCCTCTATCCTCTCATAGGACCCCTGTCCATCAGAGAGGCACCAGCCAGAGATACACTACTGTTTGCTGGTCCTTTCATTTCTCTATGAAGTCCCTGAACAATAGCTTGGTGTAGATTCTAATATAGATGACAACAACTTTTAAAAGGATGATCATATTTGGCCAGGGTGCTAAATTAATTTTTACATATTATCTCATTGAGTTCTGCACATCTATGAGGAAGACACCATTATCCTATTACAAAGCCAAATACTATTTCTCAGAGATACTGAAAATTTTCGCCAACATTAAGGAGACACTAAGTAATTAGTTGTGAGTCAAAATGTAGGATATATAAACTTTTAGACATGACTTGAAAACATATTCTTGTATGCTTCCATCAGAGTGTATCATTTAGTTTGTCTTTTTCTCCCTGTGTATGAATAAACCACAAAGGTACTTAACCTATGGTATTTTGTCATGTGGCTCTTTTGACTTGATAACTATGATCAATCACAGGGTGATAACAGTGAAATATGTTTGGCATATTTGGCTTCTGCTTCCAAAGGTGCATTTTAGATTGGTGTTAGAAACAATCAACTTTT